CCGGCCCCGCGCCGGCCCCGCACCGGCCCCGCCCGCACCTCACGGACACCCCCGCGCCGCCGCCGCCCCGCCCGGCCCCGCTCCCGGCCGCCTTACCCGCCCCGTCCCGCGCTTCCCTCCCGCGCTTCTCACACACCGACCCCAAAAATCCCGAAAATCTCCCCAAATTTATGCTCCCATGATGCTCTTGGCTGAACATTGTGATTTAATTTGCATTGTCCCGCCTTGTTAATTTACATAACACCGCCTTTCACCTGCGCTTAGAAGCCCCGCCCCACCGCGTTCCACTGGTGATGTGATTGGACGATCGAGCACCTCGATTTGCATGCCATGCCCCTTATTTGCCATGACGCCAACGCAATTAGCATATAATCATTCTCATTTGCATAGAACACCCCCCAGCAGGCCCCCACGGTGACGCCGCGGGTTTGGGGGAGCTTTGGGAGGCTCCCCTCCATGCCCGGGGGGTTTTGGGGCACAGGAGACCTGGAAATTATCAAAATCATCTAAATCACCCAAAAAATGAGTTTAAATTCGGAATTTTGGCTTCCTGAGATGTTTTTGTAGCCTTTAAAAGCATAGAGGGGCTCAGGTGCGACCCCCCTCCGCAATTCCCTCACCCTCAGTCCCTCCTCCCCAAATAAGAAACAAGCACAAATTCAATGTTTTTAACAAAAACAGCAGTTTTTATTTATGTTGGTAGAACTTCCACGATCCAAGAACTGCAGGAAGAAATTCAAGTGTTACAAGGTTTCAAACTCCTCAAAAATCACCCAAAATCTGTTCCGAACCCAGGAGACCCCCAAGCCCCCATTGGGACCCCCCAAAACCCCCGGGGTCCCCCAGAGCCTCAGGGGGAACCACTCAGTCACAGGGCTCAGTCTGGGGCGGTATCGCCTCATCCTTGGCAGGGGAGACCCCAAAAACACCCCAAATCTCCCCTAAATCCCAAAATCCTGTCCCCCAAATCCCTCCTGCCAAACCCCCAGAGGCCCCTCACCATCCCAAAATCCTTTCCTCAAAAATCCCCCCAAAATCTTCTCCCCAAACCTCAAAGTTCCTCACCACAAAGTCTTCTCTTCACAGCCCCAAATCCTTTCTCCACTCTCCAAAATCCCTCTCCACACCCTAAATCCCAAAATCAACTCTCAAAATCCCAAATCTCCTCCCCAAACCTCAAAATGGTTTTGTAAATCCCAAATCCCTTCCCCACAAAATAGAATTTGAAACCCACACCCCAAATCCGCTCTCCAAAGCTCAAAATCTGAAATCCCAAATCCCTCCCAACACCCCAAATCTCCTCCCCGCTCCCCAAAATCCCCCCCAGGCTCACCTGAGCCCCGCTCCTGCCGCACCTGTGGGACAGCAGGGGGGGAGGGGCTTTAGGGCGCCCCCTCCCCCCCAGGACCCCCCCGGGGACCCCCACCCCAATTTTTCAGGTGTTCAGGTGTTTTCAGGGGAGTCAAAGTGAGCTAGTGACATCATCACCAAAACTGGGGCTGTGATGTCATGGGTCAGGCCACACCCCCTCATTTACATACCTGGCTCCAGGTGTGTCCTGGGATTGTCACCTGCAGGGAGGGGACACAAGGGGGGTCAGGGGGGTCCTCGGGGAATTTGGGGACCCCATAAGGGGGAAAAGCCCCCCCGGGTCAGGCCTGGGGTTGTCAGCAGCAGCTTCAGCCGAACGAGATTCATGAGGTCATCACCCCTGGGGGGCCTCCACACCCCAAAATCACCAGGAAAGCCCCAAATTTACCCCAAATCGTCCCTGCAGGGGTCACCCCAATGGGGGTCCCAGCCCAGGGACCCCCACCCCAGTGAACAATTCCCCCTCCAGGTGAGAATTTACCTGGGATCTTCTCAGGATTCACAGACTGGCTCCAAAACCCCCCAAATTCCCCTCTGGGGGTTGGGGTCCCCCAACTATGGACCCCCGAGGGGGCAGGACTGGGTTGGACCCTGGAACGGAAACAGGGGAGGGTCAGTGTGAGTTCTGACACCCAAAATCCCACAGAATCCCCCCAAATCCCTGCAGGCCCCCTCAGACCGTCCCTGCTGGGACTCTCTGTCCTCCTCTCCCCCCGGGGGCTCCAGGGGGTTCCACCTTTGCAGGTCCTGGGCCCAGCCGGGGGGGTCAGACACGTGGGGGTTTCCTCATGGGGGGCCTGGGACCCCCAAACCCACCCAGGACCCCCCAAACCCCACCCCGGGACCCCCAAACCCACCCTGGACCCCCAGCTCTCACCTGCCCACAGGGATCCGCAGCTCCCGAGGCTGTGGAGGAAATTGGGGGGCTCAGGGGGGGTCGGAGCCCCGCAGGGGGGTGCAGCCCCCTCCCCAAATCCGATCAGGGCTTTGGTAACTCAGAGCTGCCATCGGACTCAGCCTCCAGCTCAGGGTCTCATCGCTTCGGACTGGGGGGTCGGGGGATTCTGGGGGGGCTTGGGGGGGCTCTGACCTGAGGGGGGGCTCTTTGTGGTCACTTCATGGTGGCCCAAGACCTATCCCACTGTAAAATACAAATTAATTATGTTTATTTAATTAAATTTCTATTATTTAGGTAATTCGGGGGGGGGGCTCAGTGTGATGGTTTTGAAATTGGGGAGGGATTTTGGGGGGGCTCTGACCTGAGGTGGGCTCGTGGTGGTCACTTCATGGTGGCCCCAGGGTCACCTCTGCTGCTCTCCCACTGCAAAACATCAATGGACGGTGGTGATTAATTAATTAAATCGAATTAAACAATTAATTAGTTAGTTGCGGGGCCCGGCCCAGCTGCTCTCAGCGCTCACGTGGCATCAGGGCCCCTCAGCCATATGCTTGTCATTGTCACTCCTCACAGAACAGCCAAAAATGTGGGGGACCCCAAAATCTGCACCCCAAAATCGGGGGGCTCTGAGGGAGATAGAAATTCTTCATTTCCCCCCCGTAAAAAAAGGGGGGCTCACCTGGGGAGGGGCCATGGGGAACCCATGCATGAGCATTCCAAAATCGAAGAGCTACAAGAAAAAATTCAAGGGTTAAAAATCCTCACACTCCTTTAGATCCCCCCAAAAATCCTTCCATGACCCAAAACTCACACAAAGACCCCCAGACCCCCATTGGTGACCCCCCCAAAACTCCCCTGGGGTCACCCAGAGCCTCAGGGGGAACCACTCAGTCACAGGGCTCAGTCTGGGGCGGTATCGCCTCATCCTCGGCAGGGGAGACCCCAAAAAAACCCCAAAATCCCCTCGCCAAAACCCCAATGGCCCCTCCAGCATCCGAAAATCCCCTCCTCAAAACCCCCTAAAATCTCATCCCCAAACCCCAAAAACCCCCTAAAATCTCCACCCCAAATCCCCAAAACCCAAAAATTCCAAACCCCAAAATCCCCTTAAATATCAAAATCTTCTCTCAAAATCCCAAATCTCCTCCCCAAATCCCCCAATACTGTCTTTTAAAATCCCAAATCGTCTCCCAAAACTCTACCCCACAAACCAAAATTTGAAACCCCACATCCCCTCTGCAAATCCCCACTCACCTGCGCCCCCATGGCTCATGCCCTGAGAACAAGGAAAAATCCATTAAAATACTAATTTTAACCAAGCAGGTTCTTATATCGAGTTGAAATTTAAATCCCACCACGCTTTAAAGTCCAGGCTGAGGATCTAGAGTGGATCTAAACTTCTACACGTGGTTTTAACTCTTGGAAAGGGTTAAACACCCCCAATGTGGGTCCGATCCCCTCCAGAAGGGTTTTAAACCTCCCCACAAGAGATCTGACTCCTTTTTTCGGTCAGTGCCACTCAGAATGTTCCAGAAGCTTCTCCACTGCCCCATCAGCAAGAGAGAGTTCATGGGGATCATCCCCGCAGCACTGCTGCCCGCTCTGCCCCGAAACCTGATTTATTAAACACTAAATTACTCACCTCAGGCACAAGCTCCATTTCATGGGTAACAACACTAGAATGGAAACAAAAAAATAAAGCGTTAGAAACAAAATATATTACAATGATAGGGCAGCCAACCCCCAGGCAGGACGAGCCCTCAGAGAATTCGAAATTCTTCACCGCGCCATCAGCACAGGTCTGTGACAGGCTCATCCCCGAGCA